CCCCGCCCCCCTGTGCCAGCCTCCGCCTGACATTACGGTCCCCCTCCCCTCCCCCCTCTCTCCCTCTCTCACTCTCTCTCTCTCTCCCTGCTGGAAGGTATCTGGATTTCATGCTCACGCAATCCCTCGCCCGGCGGGAGGCCGAGGCTGCCTCTGAGCCGGCGTCCTCCAAGGCTCCCACCGCCGGCTCTCCTGCCCCCGGCCAGGATCCCTCTGGCCAAGATCTCGCCAGTCAGGAGGCCCCCCGTCGGCCGGAGTCCCTTCAGCTGCCGGAAACCTTCGTGCTGAAAGAGTCCATCACACGAATGGCCAGTTGTGTGTCCTTCCGGGCCGTGCGCCTGCCCCTGCAATCCAATCTTACCGACTGCGGCATCTTCCTACTTCAGTATATTGAGAACTTCCTCGCCGCTCCGAGGCTGTATTACCTGCTTGCTGTGCGAATCCCCTCCCCCCCCCCTTCTCGTCTCTGCCCTCCCCTCCCAGCCCTGCCCATGACCATACGCATCCACCCCCCCCCCCCATCCCGGTGCTCAGCCCCTTACTCATCCATGCCGAACGAACAAAGGTCATGTACGAGGTCGTACATTACAAGTCCTCCTTCAAATTCGCCGGCGCTCGAAGCAGCGGCCCATGTGCGCCGACCCTCGGCCCGGAGGCGGAACTGGCTCTCCTGGAGACCCTCCTCTCCCCGCACCACCCGACCACCATGCCGGCCGGGCTCTCCATAAACCGCATGTGCATCGATATCACGCCGCCTGACACCGCGGTCGGTGCAGCGGCCCAGGCCTTCGGTGTCGTCCACTCCCGGAGCCTTCTCCAGGAGCTGGTTGCCTCGTCCGGCTATGCAGTGGCCCTGCGCGGGTGCCTGACCGCACGCCGCCTCCTGGGCGAGAACCTCCGCCGTGAGTCCGTCACACTGGTGGACGAGGCCCCCGAGCAGGGCTCAGCCCCGGCACTCGCGGCCGAAGCCCCGATCACCGAGGATCTCACCGGAAATGGCGATCTCGGCGATTCCCCGGCGACGATGGTGCCCCCCCGGCGCCAGCCAACCTCCCGACGCCGGGCCGCGGCCCGCTGGGCCGGCCTCCCGGGCGGGCCGCTCAAGCAGTGGTTCTCTCCCCGAGAGATCATCAACAAACGCGGGGAAATGCTGCTCGTCTACGAGCGCATGGCCGGGCTCTTCCTCCATCAGCACGTTGTGCCGATGGACACCACGGCTTGCGGGACCTCCCCGCAATCCCCCCTCCCATGAGGCAGCCCGGCGAGCCCCCTTTCTCCTTGTCACCTATACATCCCTCATAGATAGATCCCCACTCCTCTGCTCTTGCCACTTTCCCAGGCTCGCCTGCTTCTTTTCCCGGCCCCATACTGCCGGAAGGTGTGTTGTCCGGGCAAAATAAACACACCTTGCCTCGGGGCAAAGGTCGATGAAACGGAAAAAGGAGAGTTGCCTCGAACCAGGATTGAACTGGTGACCTTGTGATCTTCAGTCACACGCTCTCCCAACTGAGCTATCGAGGCTTCTTGTTTCCGGACCTCGGTGGTTGTCACAAAAAGAGCTGGCCTTCCGGAAACAGTGTCACTTGGCCCCTTCACCCGCCGAGGGACCATAACTCGCGTAGTGGTCCATCTTGCATTGCGGACCACCCCCCTCGGTCCCCTCCTCCCGCTTGCGATCGGCCACTCGGAAGACCTCCAAAGGCCACCATGACCCGCCACGGCCGCACCCCGGGCCGACTAATGACACGAGACACCCCCTCCCCCGCCTCCACTTCGCACACTCTCCCTCACTCCGCTGCCCATCCCGCGGTATCCCCTCAGCATGGAACCCACGGCCGGATTGCTGCACCCTGCAGTCACGCGAGCCCTCGACCAGGCCAATGCGACCACCTCGCGCGAAGACCTCAGCACCCAACTTGCCCATGTCGCCACCCGCCTGCCAGATGCCCTGCACTTGTTACTCCTGCTGATGGGCGGCCCTCTGGGCCCGGACGTGTACGCTGGTCCCGTCCTTTTTTTTTGCCCCCCCTCCCCGCCGCAATGCCCTGATCGCCTTCCTGCCCAACGGCCCCCCTGCCCTGTTCCGGCGCTCCCCACGCGCGGCCTCTGCTGTGGGGAAAAAACAGCTGCGAGATCGGCATGCTGCTCAGCGCCCCGGGGCCAGTGCACCTGGCCTCGTGCGACGCCTCGCCAGATACCAACCAAAACGCCGTCTACTATGGCGACGGCGTGTCCTGCCCCGGGCGGCTGCTGAACGACTCCCTCGGCTGGCGGCATCGCCTGGCCTTGCGCTTTGATACGGTGGACTTGCTGGCAGCCATGACGCATGGGCATTTTTTCCGCACCCTGACCCGCTGGCGCGGCGGCGGCCCCGCATCCGAGGACTTCGACCATCCGGCGTGGCTGTGGGCCCGCACGGCCAGCATCGCCGGCCTGGCCGCCTCCCTGGCCTCGGACTCGCTGTCGGACTTCCTGCCGGCCGGCGGCTGGTGCGAATGTCCATCCTTCGACCTGGCGGGCCATGAAGACCGGGCAGCCGCTGCCCTTCTCCTGGGCGCCGCAACCGCGGCCCATCTTTGCATCAACCCCGACGTGGGCACCGCTTGGAACGCACGCAAGGACCTGCTCGAGTGGTGGGCAGCGCGGGCAGCCGCCACGGGGCCCCTGCCCTCGTGCGATCGGTGCCCGCCGGCCCTGCGCCAGGCCCTGGTGCACCGGCATCTGCGCCGTATGGAAGCGCGCGCCATTCGTCTTGCCCTCAGCAAACAGACAAAGGCCCATGATGCGTGGGCACACCGGTGCGCACTGGACCGCATCTCTCCCGCGGCCTCGTGTGCACACCGCTAATCCCGCCCGCCCGCCCGCCCGTCCGCCCGCCCGTCTGCCGGCCAGTCGCTGGTTCATTTCCTGGATGAAGGCCCACAGGGTGTTCGATGAGGTGTGTCGCCACCAGCGGTTTTGAGGGGGGGGCGCGCGAAAGAAATCTAACCTTGAGATCGCCCCTCCCCCTTCCCCGGGGCCTCCTGGGCTCCCCAGCATGCATGGACGTCGGAGATCACGGCTTGCGGGCGCATTGTCGAGCTCTACCCGAAGAACTACATGGCCTGGACCCACCGGAAGGTGGTCGCCTCGTGCTACCTCGACACGCCGGAATTGGTGCGCCAGGATCACCCTCTCCGGGCTGTGAAACACAACACTGACCCCGCGCATGGCCCCTGTCTCTCCGGCTGCTGGCCGCCTCCGACTGGTTCCCCCCCCCCCTCCCCCCTCCTTTGCCCGCCCTCCTGGTGGTGTCCCCTGGCTTAAGATTGTCCGCGAGCTGGCCGAGACCACGGAGAAGGCGGTTGCCGCCATCAGCGACCATGCGGCCCTGCAGCACCGGCAATTTTTGCTGACTCTGATGCTCGTGCGACAGGCACGTCAACCCGGGGCAGCACTCGACTCGGGAGCCCCCCTGGCCGAGTCCCTCCCGCTGGCCGACGATGTGATCACTCGGGCGTGGCGGGAGTTTGCCGCTCGTGCCGGTCCCCACTCGCCGGGCTGCCATGCGCAGGGGTCCTTCGCGGGGGGGGCGCCCCTTCCGGGGGTGTCCCTGCGTTTGATGCGCGCGGCTCACCGACAGGCGGCCGCCGTGTTGGAGGTGGAGTTTTCCCTGGCCCGGTCGCTCATCCGGTCGTACCCCGGGCGCGAGGCCCTCTGGAGCCACTTGCGATTCCTGCTGTACGCCCGATACCAGTGGATTCTGCGGCCGCTATTGGATGCGGCCGCCGAGGGGGCCGGAAGCCCGGAACCGCCCGGTGCCGCCTCGGAGGAGTCCATCCGCCAGGAGCTGGAGAATGAGCTCCTCTGGCTGGACCGGGAGATTGCCGACTGCCGCGATCCCGCCACTGTGGCCACATTCGGGGATACGCGTGCCGAGACACAGGCCCGCCTGGCACGGAGCTGCCAGGTGTTTGTCCGGTGGGCTTTCGCCGGGGGACCGGCGCGTCCCTTTGCCATGGCCATTGCGGAGGCCGAGAAAACCGCCTCCTAGGGCATCACCGCCGACAAGCGAAGGGACATGCCCCCCCCCCCCCCTGGTTTGTGCCTCGACCCGAGCGAGTGGCATGCTCGCGAAGAGAGGAGGGCGGAAGGAGGAGTGGAAAGGGGCATGCACACACACACACATGCACGCGCGCGCGCGCGCGCGCGCGCGCCGGTGTGCAGGTGTACATGGCGGGCTTCAGCTGTAGTGGCGTATATTGTAACATTCACAAGGGCATCTCATTTGGCGCGTGTGTCCTTCCAAATGCAAGAGCCCTGGCGTGGGAAAGCCGGCATGCTCGGGCAGACACATTAGTCCTGGCTGGCGACCGGAGTCTGACCAGCCCGGGGGGTGGCCCCAGGAACAACGGGCAGGGTCGACTTGTCGGTGCTGTGGACGACAGAGCGCCGAAGGAAGCAAACAAACAAACAAAAGAGACAGGAAGAAGGGTCAGCGACACAGGGCGAATTCCCTCCCCTCCCGGAGGAGGGTGACAAGCATGGAGATGAGGGAGACGCACAGGTAGTGGTAGTTGATGAAGCGGTAGCCCTGGATGGTCTGGGCGGCGAAGTTGGCCAGGTGGCAGATGAAAAGGAGATGGTTGCGGGGGCGGACCTGCCAGGCGAAGCGCATGAACAGGAGGGAGTAACCGCCGAGGGCTACCACGATGGGGAGGGAGGGGAGGTCCAGGGTGAGCGACGGTCCGGCAGATGAAACGGAGGAGAGGGGGAAAGGCGGACAGCGTATGCCTGGCGCGCGGAGGCGGCGCGAGACCAGGGAGCAAAGGGGGGGGTGGGGGGGGGGGGGGGGGGGGGGGGCACTTACCGGCGGTCATGTTCCCGGAAATGAGCTCGGGCGACTTCTTGGTGTCGGCGATCGCCGCCAGGGGGAGAGTCCAGTTGGCGACTGGAGCCGGTCCCATGGGCACAGGGGTGTCAGTGGAAAGGCTCGCGCGATGGGGGCGCCAAAGGGCGGGCAAAACGCAGCGACAGGAAGAGCAAGAGAGGGCACAGACGCACCCGGGCCCCAGAAGTGCTGGGTGATGGCCAGGCATCGATGGGAAGGGGGAGGGACGAGTGGATGTGTGAGCAATGAGCAACGCCAGGCCGGCGGCAGGGCGGGAGGAGGGACGGAGCATCACGTACGGTGCTGAAAATGTACTGGCGGAAGGCCGGCGACTTGACGTAGGTCGAGGCCCGGGCAATGAAGGAGGCAGGAGAGGCGGAGGACATGGCTATGGAACAGGGAGAGAGAGGGAGGGAGGGAGGGAGTCGAGGCGCAAGGGGCAAAGGGGGGGGGGGACAGGGAGCTGGGGCGGGGGGCGGCGGCGAAGGCTGGATTCCGGGACCCAGGCCCCTGAGGCAATGTGCCCTGAGAAAAAGGCCCCGAAGAAAATCGGATCATCTGCCCCCGCATCCCCGGTCCAGGGTCCTTACCCATGTGTGTCAGCAGGTAACGTACACGGGATGCTTTCGGCCATGGGCCGCTCGCACCTCCCCGCGATTGGCCGCGGCCAGCCCGGGCTCAAAGCCCACCAGGCGGGATGGGCGGGTGTTCCCCCTCCCACCGCGGCGGCCCGGCGCCTC